AAAAAGTAGTTGTCACCAGGGTGGACAAAAGGAGAGGTGGTGGCTTCCCCCCCCCAAGACCCCCAGCCAGGGGGTGGGGGGGGGGGAATTTCTGGGAGTGGATGTCCACCCATCTTCCAGTTGCCAAGGTTGAGCAACACTGCTCTAGAGAGCAGCTGTTCTTCAAGGCAGAGGTGGGACCCCTGCTAGCCTGCAAAACCCAATTTATGCCCCCCTCCAGAATACTCAAGATGGTGATATCAAAATTTGGCCATCGAATCCCCCTTTTTGGGAGCGAGATTTCCTTTCAGGGGGTAAAATCAGAGGTAAAACGCGACAACCGCCAAAGGCTGTCGTTCCTGTTTTAGTGGGGAGAGCCTTTTTTTTCTCATTACTCGGGCCCGACTTATCTCTGCGAAAACCCTCCCCAGCTTCTACTGAAAAGTGAGCAACGCCAAGGACAACTCGAATTAAGCGAGGACAGCCTGCAAACCTCGCCTTCCTCGCGAATCTCGGGTGCTGGCGCTCCCCCTTCATGGCTGACAGCCCACAAAGGCGATCGAACGATCCACTGACAGGCAGGTACAGTATATTCGTTCTGCCAAGGTGCCAACTTCGAAACCAGGTTTGAAAGCCATGCTACAAATCAATCACCACCACAGTACAATGCTGTGTTCATTGGCTTTCAACATCTTTTTGTTTGCCTGGGAATTAAATGCATTTGTAGTTAACAGTTAACACTGCTATCCATCGTGGTATAAATGTTAAAATGATCCCCACCTTAAAAAATTCAACAATGTAAACAGCACTACACACAGTATAGGCCTGCTCTGTTTAAAAAAAAGAAAAATGCAGAACTTCAATCTGGCACTGTAATAATTTAGTGATGTTAATTTAACCTCACCAGGGAAAAAAAAAAAAAAAGGGATTTTCCTTTTAAAGTTGCGTAACCTGCGGCAAGATGTATACCAATCTGAAACCATGGGGGAAAAAAATCATTTAACTTGCAACCAGAGGGAGGGTTAAACATTTCAAGGAAAGAAGAAACAGGAATAACCCAATTTTTAAAGAAAGTGCCTAAAATATGGATACAGCATTTTAAAGCCCTTTCAAAATACAAGGCAGAGAAAGGTGTAAAGTAGAAAAATCTGGAGAAGTCTGTAAATTCCAGATGAGTTCTGAGCTTATGGGCCATGAAGGGTTTAACGGGGGACAACTGTCGCGGCGGCTGCTTTAAAATGTTATGCAGTGTGATGGTCTGTACACAGGGACGCTGTCTGTAAATCCTCCAAGCGCGTGGGGTCCTCCTCCTCCTCCTCCTCCTCCCCCTTCCTCCGCCGCTCCATTTCCCATTCCACAAAAGTGTCAAAGAGACTGGGCCAAGCCTCGTCCTCGCTATAGTTGCTGAGGTCCGGCCCAATGACCTGAGTAAAATTAAGGAACATGTTCCACGTGTCCCGTGAGATTCCCTTGATTCCTGAGGGGTTCTCATTCAAGAAGTGTAACCACTGGTCCAAAATTGGAGGCTTGTTCTGGGTGAAAACCAGCTTCCAGAGAGCAATGGCTATTTCCCGGTGCAGCGACCTCTGGCCCTCGTCGGAGTCCAGGCCGAATTGGAAAGTGAAACGGTAGAGATCTTTGAACTTATCCTCTTGTTTAGCTTCGTTTAAGAGGCTGGGGAACCGGGCACAAATCCCATCGATGCTGTCTGCATTTATTGCTTTACAACCCTCAAAGAACTCCATCCTGTGGGCAGGGAGGAAAGGACGGTGTCCGTTAGGCCTTATTTTCAATGGTGCAATCCAACCTTCTTCAACCTGATGCCCTCCCAGAATTCTTAGGTCACAGGGCCAAGATATCTGGAGGGCACCAGCTTGGAGACGCTGGCATAAGGAAAAGTCACAACACAACTTGGTAGAAGAGAATATCAGTAGCTCAGGGTTGAATTGTGGAGTTCTTGGTGGTCTCTGAGCTAGCTTAGTCACAACTCAACTCAACAGAAGACAATACCAGGGTTCAGAGAGCACCAAGAACTCCACAAGGTGCAACCGTCCCCCTTCCCAAGTTGGAGATGTGACATCAATGTTGCATACCCTCTGTTAGAAAAGAGGAGGGGGGTGGGATTCAGAGAACAATGGAAGAACTTTTTAGGGGGAGCAAAGTTCTCACATGGACACATGAATGATGATTTTCAAGTTATAATTAACAGTTTGGAAACTGGTACATATTCAAAATATAACATATACACTGCTGGTTAACATATGCGGGGCTGTCCACAGAGTGTGTTCAAAAAGTCAAGATGGTGGCCGTGGCTGGTGCAAGCAAAGTTCTACCTGTTTTTTATGTGGTGCCTTCCCCCTGCTCCTTCCTCCAACCTACCACAGGTTAAGTCAATCTAAAACCCTCCAGATGTGCTGGGATGGTAATTCCCAGATGGCTTAGCATTCTGGGAGTTGCAGTGTCAACACATCTGGAGTAGCTTAGGTTAGGCAAGGCTGACTCTGTTTGATTCAAGGCTCTGAGGCTTTGCACTCTTGGTCTCAGGAGAGAGACAGTTAGGTGGTTGTCACCACACAAGGATATTTCTGCTCCAAAGAATGAGAGTTCCTTCACTGTTAGATGTGCCTGGACTTCTCCTTGCTTCCCAAGAATCACTTCTTCCTGCTAAGAGCTTCCCTGGTTCTCTGGTCACAGAACAGCATCATCCAAGAGTCCAGCTCCCCCAATTCTTTGCCTTTCTGATTCTCTTACTTTTTCCAACCGCAACCTTTCTGCTTCTTTCATCCTCTTATCCTACGTGTTCCCTCACTCTCCCATTTTTCTCTTGTCTGGCCCAACAGCCCAGCTTATACTTTGGCCCCAAGACCACCACCATCCCACCCCATTTTGCTGGCTTGGTGGCCTCTACTAGCATCAGAAGATAAAAGGACTGTGTGGCCTTTGAAGATGGGTGGGGAAATCTTTGGTTGCCAGGGGACACCCTTAACTTTTTTAGGAAGGCAAGAGACATAACAAGATGGGACAATTGTGCAAATGATGTGGGGTGTGTCAAGCAAGTGGGTGGAGCCAGGCCCTTCTGTATTTTCCTAGAGTGTGGGAGGGAATGGGCTTGCCTATTTTAACACATTTTCCATGCTTTTCTTGTCTACTAACCATTTCCCTGTCTCATCAATTTGCCCAACAGCCATTGAGGGGGCTCAAGAGATCAGGCAGCCCCAGGGTTTCCAACTGCCTACCCCTCCCTAGAATGCCCCCAGAACTCACCTGGTGAATTTGCACATGGTAGCTGCTTGGAATTTCCAAGCCAGGACAAGCACTTTGAACTCAGTGGGGTCAACACAGAGGTCATTGCAAAAACGCTCCATGCCTTCCTCCAATATGGCATCTTCTCGTTCATCCTTGTACCTCCTAAACAATTCCTCAGTTCTGTGGAGGAACGATTCCTCTGTGCCCGAGATCGGCTCTTTCCTGGCATCTCCAGAGGAAGTTGGAGGCTGGCTGGATTCTAGAGCAGCTTCCACCTTCTTTGTCCCGTTGACCAGAATATCCCCAGAGGGTTTCCTGACAACCAGGTTGAATTCCTCCTTGTGATTTGTGCTCCGCTTCCCGTGAGCTTTGCTGTGAGCCTCCCGATCGCCATTTTTGCTGCCCAGAGTGGAAGAAGGATTCTTGCACTTGGTGACGCACTGGCCCATATTGTAGCACGCCCAGCTGTTAGAGCAGCCCCCACGCCGTCACACACCTGCTCCACTGGTGCTCCCTGGGCCTCTGCATGCTCTCAATGGTAGTCTGCCAGCCTGGAGGAAAGATAGGCAAGGAGAAGAAAGAATCAGATCAACCAAGTGTTCCTTTTTGCTTTTACCAAATATTAACCTACTAGAACTATCACCACTCTATAGGATTGGCAAGGAGTCAACTAATTTTACCAACTAAGATCCTTTTAGCTTTCCACAGCTAAACAATTCAACTATGTTCATACCACAATCAATAGTTTTAAAAGAAAAGAAATGTCTTTAGTTGGTCTTGCAGACATCAGAGTGGGACCACCTGCAAGGGACCATCCTTTCATTTACAAAAGTAGGTGAGAAACACCACCTCCAAGGTGTCATCTTCAACTTGCATAAGCGCTTAATTGCCTGAACAGGATTGTGCTTGACTTAAAGTAGTTTTCTCTAATTTAGATTGCAGCCCCCAGAATCCCCTTCCTTTGAGACTGGGGGAGAAAAAACAGAGCCAGCCAGCCATGACACATGGCCTCTCATTGTTTTAACTAGTGAAGTCAGAATTTGAAGCAGAAACTTTCTGTGTGAAAAATGGGTGTTCTATCACCAAGCTACTATCTCCTTCTCAACTTCCTGGTACACTTCCTCTGGGAAAGCCTTGTCCACAATACCAGGCTCTGCAGCAGCTGGTCCCACATTTCCATCCTCCCACCCTGTCCCCAAAATGGAGGGGAGGGATGGAGAATTGCACAATTATCCAAGGCCAATAAACATGGCTTGATTGACTGCACACCCATCCGTCACATACCACAGGGACTTCAATCTGCCCTCATTTCTCAGAAAAAGGCATGTAGAATCAGGCAAACCCACATACAAATTGTGATTGCCTCAAATCCTGCTGAAGACCCCCCCCCAAGAATGATTTCCATCAGAAAGCACCCATAACCAGGTTTAACCAAAAAAAAAAGGGCAGTTTCCCCCAGTAACTGACTGAGAAATACTTATAAAAGGACATTCCTAAAATTCTTCCTGTAACACCCAGTTACAAAGAGGTTGCTTCGTGTGTGGAATTTGTCAAGGCAGAGCCCTCCAGCTTAGAAGGATGTTTTGATCATACTTTCTGGAAGTGAGTAAAGACCATGCATGTGCTTTAATATCAAAGCACGTAAGAAGCTTTATGCTCCCAGTTTGCATCAAGCGGCCGCCAAGTTGGGGCTGTCTAGTTTAAGCTACCAGCTTTGGATTTCAGAGTGGAAGAGAAGCTTTCGAATATGTATCTCACATACATGTGGCTACATGCTCATCCTGGAGAGATATTTACCCTGCCAAGAGTCATTTTAAGTGTGGAGGGGTAGAAATGTGTTAAATAAAACAAATAAATGGGGCAGGGGGAGAGAGAGAGAACAAGCTGAGATATTAATTATAGCCTTTAAAAATGTAACAATCAGGCCTAAAAAGGGAGGAGTTCCAATTAAAAAAAAAATCAGGACTGGTTGAGGTGGCCCAAATGTCCAGGCCTGGGCTACAATACAGTCTATATCAGGGAGGAAGGGGGGCTGTGGGCCTCCAGATGTTGCTGAACTGTAACTTCCAGCATATCTTCTCACTGGCTGTGTGGGCTGCAGCTGTGGGACCCTGTAGTTCAGCAACCATACTGGAGGGCTGCAGGTTTCCCAACAATGCTCTCCACCAAGTTGCCTTGAAGGCTCTTGGAAAGCTTCAACAGATAGAAGGCAACAGTCTGTCTTATGCAAAGAGTGAGTCCCAAAGAACACCCCCAGGAGCTGGGCCAGCATTGTACAACATGCACGCCTCTGTTGCTCCCAAAAAGTTCCAGAATACGTCCCAAAGCCCACCTCTTTCTCCTCTGTGCCAGCTAAAACTTAGTTCTGCCAGAAGAGGTCCGTGATTTCTCTCTGCAGGTGTCAAGGGCATATCAGAAAGGCTTCCATGAAACTATGTTGGCTGACGTTCTGGAAATTAATCTGCCAGGCTAGCAAGGCTTCATGACAAGCTAAGCCACTGACTTTTGTAGCTTTAAAGGAGACGTGAGACCAACAGAGACAATTCAGCTATCAATAGCTACTAGTCACAATGGCTATAAGCTTTCTTAGTATCAGAAGCAGCATCTCTCTCAATACTAGTTGCTAGGGAACAGAAAAAGGAGGCCTCTGGTGCACTCCTGTCCTGCTCGTGCGCTTCCCAGAGGCACCTAGCTGGCTGTTGTGGGAAGAGAATGAATTAAACAGGCCTTGGAGCCTAATCCAGCTGGGTTTCACTTACATTCTTTGTGGTTGGAGAAGAGAACAGATACCATAATGCAAGTATTAACTGTGCCCTATAGCTTCACAAAGCTTTGCATGAATTAAAACAAGAGCCTTCATGGTATATGGCCAGGTTACTTGCAGGAATATCTCTCCCCAGTTCTATCTACCTGTCATGTGAGATCCAACAGGAGAGGCACGCTCCAGGTCCCATCCATTAGGGAGTATCATCTGGCAGGTTTCCCAAGGAGAGCCTTTTCTGTCACGGTGCCTGCCCTCTGGAACATCATTCCCCCAGAGACGAGACTTGCCCTGACCCTACTGGCTTTGCATGAGGCCCTGAAGACTTGGTTCTGGTGCCAAGCCTTGGCCCCGGGTGTCTGGTGGAGCCCGTATCTTGGCTATGTTGATTGTGTTGCTTGGTTTTATCTCAGCTCCTATCACTGTTATTTATTGCCCCATTATGATGTTTTTATCTTGTTTTTATTCCCAATTAAATAAAGAAAATAAACAAATAGCAAGGTGAAATTATCCAATGTGAGCACAGTGATCCACTGCCAGCCCCTGATGATATATTGCCAAAGCAAGAGGCCACAGATCAGCCTCTAAAGAGGAGGGATTTCTCCTGGACAGGAAGAGCTCCTCATCTCTATCTAGCCAAATCTGACCAACCAATCAGTTCTGCCACCACAACTTTCTCTCCCTTTGAAGTAGGTCAATTTTCAACCCTGTTATAGAATGTCTTTTATTCCTAGCTTCAGAAGAGATCGGTGTTTCTCAACCTTGACAACTTTAACATGTGTGGACTTCAACTCCCAGAATTCCCCAGCCAGCCATGCCTCAATGGTATTTTAAAAC